CCGCCCCGGAATACGGGGATTTGGATTGGAGTCGCCTCATGACCAAGACCTTCACCGGAGAATTTTTGAAGGATTGGGTCGTTGATCTAGGCGTCTGGGTGTTCACCTGTTTTTGGATTATTCCTGGTGCGTTCTGGCCGGTCATTCGTGTTAGTTGTTCGTGTTGACCCACTGCTAACGCTTGCGACTCAGTGACCCTTTTCGTCTCTCTCGTGTCCATCAACAATTTGAGCACGCTTATTCCTGGACTCGTGAGGCTCATTCCCTTGCACGGTCAACCCTTCGTTATTGACTGCTGGTCACTCTAGGGAGACTACTTGAACCGGAACCCAGAACAACTCGAAATTCTCTCCTCACTCGTGCCAACCCTTCTTGTTACAGGCCTTGCCATCCTTGTTCCTCTAATTTTGCTTCTCATCTCCAAGAAGGCGCACAACATCGTTCTCCTGTCCAAGTTACACGACCAAATTATGACCCGCTATCACAAATTCCTTGTCTGCAAGTCAGTACAATTGCACGTCGCTGCTGATGGGACCTTACGCTGACATTTCCGACTGTTTTAAAGCGTCTTGATTTTCTTCTGCGTCGGAGTCTCCGCGCTGCAAGCCTTCTTAGCCAGTTGGAAACAGCCCGTCAATATCTTACAGACAGTCGCAACCAAGTTCCCCGATGCTGCCCCGTTTTACGTTGGGTATGTTTTAGTTCCTTTGACCTACACGCAACAAGCTGATTGATCCCCGGTCTTGGAGTTGGTTGATATTCCAAACTGCAATGCATGCTGGACTTGAGCTCGGTCTTCGTAAGTCCTCAACCCTGGTGGATGCGGGAATGCATCGTGTGCTCATTAGCCCTCGCAACCAGTCGGTCTCCCGCTTTTGGTTTACCCCGCCACCGTCCTCAAAGCCACGACACCACGGAGACGCAAAGCGGGGACCCGTCCTCGTACCTTCAACTTCTACTGTACGTCAACGATGTTCAACCCACCTCGTTCCCGAACGCTGACATTTAGTCTGAATCTCAGACTGGCTTCCTAATCACCTTATCGTATTATTTGTTGTGTTCTGTTTCGCTATTCTCAACCCTCTGGTCATCCCATTCGCATTTCTCTATTTTTCCGTGGCATCCGGTGGGTTCAATTCCATTCAGTGTCCACGAACCCGCGAATCTGACACATAATGCACGCGCTTGCCCGTAGTGGTTTTCAAGCATCAAGTGAGCCATCTCTCCTAATGATTTCACCTATTTGACTGACCCATCTACCCGTAGTTCCTTCATGTCTATTCCAAAGCATACGAAATGAACGCATCCGTCATACTAATTCGCTGGGTCCGCTACTCTCTCGATGGCATTATACTATCCCAAGTTCGTGCATCATTACTCTGCTACGCTTCCGCCACTCATAACCTTGTGTTAGGTTATATTCCTCGCCTTGACCATTATCTTGGAAAAGAATGTCACTGCCGGTTTTGCTGGTCTTTTCATGGGCCTTACGGTCTTAGTAAAGCTCTAGTAAGCCTTGTGCCGGATGCTATTAAATAACGACCTGACCCTCCGCTCGCTCCTCAGTATGACCAGCTACATTCGAGCAAACTTCGCCCTCGACCAAGTGAACGAAGGTCGAGCTATTTGCGGTGTTCCAGAAGCTCATCAACCTCAAGAACCGCAACCCACGACCGACGCGGAGAAGGCGGACGATGGCCTCTCTCCAGCTATTTCAAGAGAAAACGAACACCTCGTCGACCATCAAGCCGCAGGAACATCGGCTCCAGCACAACATACCAGTCTTGGTTCACGCTTGAACAATTTCTTCCACCACCATCCATCCTCCCGGCGACATCATCGACGCTCCTCCGACGAGCACCATAGTTCAGTCCGATTCTGGACTTGGAGACTGCCGACTGGCGCCATGACCTTCGCTTACACAACACTTCCTGCAAGGCCCAACACCAGACATCCCCCCAACCCTTTCCGCCCACAACGACAACCTTCCCCTTCCCCTACCCCAAGCATCAATCGAGGTGAAGACACCGCACCCCCTCCTCAACCGGCGCATCCAGGGATAATCGGTTTGGCGTCCCCTCAACCCGCCATCTACACCGATCCTTTCGACCACGCCGAGCAGCAAGTTTCGTGGGTTGACCTGAACGCCAGTCGTAGACATGATCTCGTCATACCCCACGAGAAACGGCAGGCTTGGGACGACGCTCCCAGGTACGACTTGACGTACGAGAATCCTCATTACACAAGGCCCATCGAGAACATTCTTTGGCTTCCCGTCAATCCATGCACGATTCTCGACCTCAACGAAACGGTGGATGTCTTCAGAGCCCTCACAAGTGAGCCCGGCGCGGGGGCGCTTGGACAGTGGATCAATGAATCGAGCTCGGTTGTCCCGGAGCCAGCGGAAACTATGGACGTTCCTCAACCAGTAACCCCTGATCCCGAGAGCGAGGTGGGCGAAGAGTTATCGGAAATCCCGCTCTTCGGGCACGAGAAGATCGACCTCCCTCCAACAATCGAGTCTCGGATAGAGTCAATCTACAGGGAGAAAGAGCAGGATAAGCCTGAATCAAGTGATACTCCATCGCTTTTCGGCTTCACGCGCACTTCTACACGAAGGAAGTCCTCGTCGATCTCCATGGCGTCAACACAAGTTGGCCCCGGAGGTAGATCCTTCTCTGGTGGCACCTTGGCATCAGTTCAACGTGGAGGACCCAAAACGCTTCGACATTCAACATCACGCCTATCTCGAATCAGTCAACCATCCGTCTCCCCCACCTCACCCGCTCCGCCCTCGAGTTCTATCGGTATGGGTCATCCTTCACAACCTCCCGTCACGCCCCAACGCATGCAGAGCGTGACCAGTGCTCGCTCAAGAATCCGCTCTGGATCGATCGCAGCAAGCGTGAATTACGATCCATTCGACCATGTCGACCTCGGCTCGCAGACACCCTTTGCCGACCCCAACCTGAACATTGTCCTGCGAAGCACTGTAAGACTTGTGGGCGATTCTCCCGATGAAATTCCACCGGAGTTTGGGGGTTTGCCCCCCACCATCAATGTCCCCGCGGAAGACAGCTTGAATAGCGAGCTCAGACCTGGTGCAGCTCGCCTGGTGGTCCCCGAGACCCCTATGACGAATCGAGCCGGTCGGGCAAGATCAAATAGCAGGTTCAGCGTAACAGCTAGAGAAGCCCTTGTTGGAGAAGTATTGGCTGAGGAGCAGATCGCAACAACGGAACGAGTGAAAAAGGAGTCGCAGGAATCCGAGCAGGGTGCCCCACGATCATGGGTCACATCATGGCTCTACAACACGTTACGACACGATGACTAACACTTCGGATTGTACACGACCCGCTACGATACATTCTGTAACTTATGCACTTTTTCAAATCTTAGTCTAGCCAAATTTGCATAGTTGGTATGCTACCCGAACACTGGAGTCATGCATTCCAAGTGAATCCAAAATGAGTCGATTGCATGCATTGCTTCGTGGCGCAATTGGTTAGCGCGTCTGACTGTTACCGTATCGGTCATCAGGAGGCTGTGAGTTCGAGTCTCACCGAAGCAGCT